AGCAAGGATCCGCTTTACCGGAATCACAAAAATCCCTGAAGCCAACCTTTAAAACGAACAACTTGCCCAGTTCACCTCTTCCCAAGACGACCCTCCAATTTTATTTGTATTTAACAAAAGCCACATTTCTCATTTTTTGCACAGCATTTTCTTCTGCTTGCAAAGACAGAATTAAATACTGGTTTTTAATTCCCCATTTCTGTCATAAAAATCATACATTATTGGAAAAAGATTATTCCTAATTATGATGGAATTTAAACCCGCTTTAGACTTAAAAAAACAAATCAAAATATTATACAAATATCATTCTATGTGTCAAAAAAATTTACCATCAAGGGAAGAAATGGGCAAATTATATATTATAAATTCAAAACCAGACACCGACAGGTACTGAACTGAATAATATGAAATCCTCGTGTCTGAGTATTTAAAGCTCAGTGTGGAAAGAGAAAATACATGTATGAGCATTCCCTTTGTTTCTAATTTTGTCTTTTGTTATTATTTGAATATTCTGATTTAGAACTACAGTCTGAATGTACACTTCAAAATTCACCAAGTAAATGGTGAAGTATTAACGAAGAAAAGCCTTGTCAGGGTCAAAGGCAAAATAACGCACTTGGCTTCTACCCTCAGAAGTCTGAGAAATGATGACTTATTTATAGCCCCACATGCAAGTAACTGCAGGAGGCCGGCAGCCAAAAGAGTGATGCATCAAAAAAAGTGTTTACCCTCACCCTGGCCTGTGCCTGCCCTGGGGGCTGGGCTTGGTTCGGTTTGTTTCCTGTAAAAGGATAAATATCACCTAGTTGTTTTGTGCTTGCCCCTAAATCAGGAGCGTGGACTTGGCTTCTCACTAGCAACCTTCTTCCACCTGCCTAGAGAAATACCACTAGAAAATATTTAACCCAACAGCTCCAGTATGCAGCAAAAGACCAAAGTTCTATAAAAATAACTGATTTATTGTTAGGACACTGGAAATTGTGAGCTTCTCACCAAACATTATAAATATAGCTACCTCGTTTTTAAGTTTCTAGCGCTACCCCCCACCCCCACAAACTCATCCTATCATTTTAGGAAGGGCTCTTAAACACACATGCATTGTCTGCCCCCTGAAAGTCAGTCATGGCCCCAAATTCTTTGAAGCAATAAAACACAGGGGTGTGCTATTCTCTTTCCGACTCCCATTTTTGTTGCTTGTTTTCTGTTCTGGAAAATCCAATCATCAAAAGACAGAAAGCAAACATGTAAACAATGCAAATTCACTTATTAGTCTCACTCATCCTCCCAAGACACTAAAAAATGGAGCCACCATTATACCCATCAGAGCTGGACCAGACCCAGAGGTTCCATTCCAGGACAGCTGAGGGGCTAAGACAACTCACCTCCTCAACCAGCCTGAGATCCGGCCTCCTGCCCACCAAGGCTGGGAGGGCTTTGGTTTTTACCTAAATGGACTTGGGGCTTTGGCAGTATCAACATTCACCTTAACCAAATGTCTAGTTCAGGAAAGATGAACTTTGAAAGCTAAGAGAACTAAGATCAGACCCATCCCATACCTGACTGTTCTTATACATATAATGAGACTAACTCTATGAGACATCTATGAATACCATATGGGATTGCCAGCCATCCAATTTTTGACATAGATAAGCTGGAAATTAAGGCTACCAGAACGATCTAGTGAAACTGAAGACCTAGCGACCACCTTCCTGACCTTCAGATGAAAATCATTACTTAAACCCAAAATACGTAAGTTTGATTAACACTGTAACTTTCACAAGTCATTACAAATGAAGTTAAATAGCATTATCACTATAGACTATTAAAGAAATGTCTTGAAATGTATTAAACAGAAATCTATCCAGACTAAATAAATAAAACCCACAAATCAGTAAAAAAAAAAAAAAAATAGGGTAGAAAGTGGGCAAGGAGTAAGGATAAGCAAATAAGAAAAATCCAAACCGCCAATAATGTTATTTTCCAAGTGTGCATCCTCATCAGTTAGCGAACACATGCAAATTAAAATAATTAAAGGTGAATCATTCAGAGTAGAGAGAATTTGGCACATACTGGATTAAATGGGGTAACTCGGAGCAGCCGGACCAGAAATGACAACTGCCTTGTGGTGAGACGGTGCGTACTGAACACCTGCATGTCACCTTTTGTGACTCACCTGCTCATGCTTTAGTGTCAGGAGGGTAAGCAGCTAAAATTCACAGCCGTAGTAACTGGGCAGTACCGAGTGAAACTGCAGGGCTCACGGCCCACCGCCCCCCACCCCAGCAGTACTACTTCTGCATGTATTCCATCTGCATTCAACAGACATGAAGATTGTTCACTGTACACTGTATATAACTAAATAAATACATAAATAAAAATAAGAGAAGGAACAAAGCATGGTCTCTTCAAATTATGAACCACCACACAGCATTTAAAAAGACTGAACCAGACTTAAATGTATTCACACAGAACTTAAAAACACAAATTCAAAAGGGGAAAAAGCAGATGCACAGGACTTACAGAATGATATATTTCTAAAAATTAAACCATCACAAAATGTTTTATTTGGGGACACACAAAAGCATATGTATACACAAGTAAATTAAACCCACGACAGAGGCTGCTTCTTAGAATAAGAAGGGCAGTGCTGATCAGAAGTGAGTATCAGCTGAGACGTTTTCCTTAAAAAAAGGTAGAGAAGGGGCGCCTGGGTGGCTCAGTCAGTTAAGCGTCTGACTTTGGCTCAGGTCATGATCTTGGGGTCCTAGGACGGAGTCCCACATGGGGCTCCTCGCTCAGTGGCAGTCTGCTTCTCCCTCTGCCTCTACCCCTGCTCGTGCTCTCTCTCTCTCTCATATAAATAAAATCTTTAAAAACATAAAAAACCTAAAAATGTTAAAAATTTAAAAAGGTAAAGGAATCAAAAGCAAACATAACAAAAGAATTAACAGTTATTTATTGGGGGTGACTAGGAAAATGCCTCTTTTACCATTTTTGTCTTTCTTTCTTTTCTTTCTTTTTTTAAATTTCTTCCCTAGCATGTCTGCCTGCCTTGGTGGAGAAGGTGCCTTGCTTCTAATGTCACATTGACTCTTGCCCCAGGAAAGCGGAACTGAGAAGTGCCCCAGCAGGCAAGGACTGCAGTCCTGCGTCTGTCCCCAACTTCCTTCTACATCTTCGTCAGGGCTTCCTGCACTTCCATCAGCAACTCTAAAGAATTCACCCTGAACTCTAACCCCAGTGAGTTTTAATCCATACCATACCTTCAAGTTTTTTTGATTACATAAATGTCGTTACTGTTTCTACAGTTGAACTAGATGAGTTCCACTTCCCCAGAGACAAACCCACCAGAAACCACCACACAGGTCTGGCTGACCGATGGAGAAACTTCTCAAAGCACAATGGAACACCTGTGAAGAATCTGGGTCTTACAGGTGTACAAAAAGCAAAACAAAGCAAATGAAAAGGTAGAGTTCACAAAGAATGTGGAACTTTCTTTACCTCTATTTTAAAACGTCAAAAGAAATGCACTTGCCACATATATGACAAAAGGTTAATACTGCTAATATTCAAAGAGGTCTCACAAATTTGTAAGACAAAAACAGATGCTTTAAGAGACATAAACAAAAACGCACAAATAAGGAATCACAAGAGATGAAATAAAATGGCCAAAATGGCTCACAGTAGAACAATACCATTTAGGGGGTGAGAGCTTCATGTGCGTGATCTTATTTAATCCCCAAAGTGACCCTACAGGAGCAGCACTTCCCAAAAATACTTGGGAAGGTGAAGCATGTCCAAGATCTCAAAGCACATAAACTGAGCCTGGCCTGCTGACTAAAACTCCGGACTCTTGACCATTGAGCTTCACTGCAGAGATAAGATGACCGATGCCCTTGTTGGGGAGCATCTGAGGAAAGAGGCCTTCTCACGCACCCTCTCTGGGGATGCAATTTCCAACAGCTGGGCAATGGGCATCTACACCATCAATGTGCATACCCTATTACCCACAACCCTGCTCTCAGAGGAAGTGCACCCTAAGAAAATAATCTCAGAAGTCCTAGAAGGCAGAAGTAAACAGCACAAATTTCTACAAAACTGCACAAAGGCAGCCTTGACAGCATTGTTGATGACAAGAAAAAACTGCAAACTCAAAAGTCAGTTGGTAAGGGCCTAATTGGTCTGGTGGCAGATGTATGCAGTGGAATCCCACAAAGCTTTTTCATACTAAACTGTGTGGGGAAGAATATATATGGTACGATCCCGTTTAAGTAAAAATGTGTACAGGACTCTACATGTGCATATGGAGACGTGTTCCAAAATTTTAAGAGTGGGTTACCTTTGATTGCAGGGGTCTCTGATGATTTTTACTTTCCTCCTGCTGCTGTTCTGCATTGTTTGGATTTGTTTCCCAGCTGTTCTTTTTACCAAAATAGGAGACCTCATGGAACACCTGGGATCTATCAACGTTTAAACGTAGAGAGCCTTGAACTCCGGACTAAGTATAAGTCTTTCCTCCTGGGATTTGTTACAAAACTATTCACCACCCTCACTCCTGCCACCAGCATCCCTGACAGGGAACTCAACCCTCTCGGGCAGTGCCCGGCTCCACCTGCCCCTCAGGAGACCCTCCACAATCCTGGGCTCCCTAACCATTCCACTTCCCTAACCATTCCGCTCTCCTCAGCTCCGCCTCCCGAGGCCTGAGGACAGATGAGGATGCCCACATGCGTCAGCTCACTCCCCGGCCTCAACCCAGCCCCAGGGCAGTCACAGCCCAGTCTCCGCGGCTGGGGACCCCCACCCCTCTCAGAGCTCCCCCAGAGCGGGACTCCACCTCTCCCAGACCCCGCGCCCCGGACTTGTGGGAGAGGCCCCCGGAATCACCGCCCCCCCGCCCGGCCGGGACCGTCCCCCTGAGGCCCCCGATCTGAGGCCGGGCCCCTTCCGGAGCCCTGGGGCACCCCCGCCCGCCCGGACCCCCGCCCCTGCGCGCTCACCCTCCCGGCAGCGCCGCCTCCAGATGGTGTCGGTGTGCAGGATGCGCCGGAACTTGGTGCAGACCTGGGCCAGGCTGGGCAGGTCGGTGCCGGGTAGCGAGGCGAAGATTTCCACCAGAAGCTCCGGCGGCAGCTCCAGCAGCGAGCAGCGCGGGGGCGACTGGGGGCCCGCGCCCCGGCCGCCCAGCGCCCCGGACA